CAAATCGCTCCAAATTCATGGAAACGAATTATCGGGCTGCTGGTACTTTTTGCCGAAAAAAGTGGGATCTGCCGTCGGCGAAAGACATGAGGAGCATGTTCACATTTCGGAAGAGTCCAGATAGACAAGTGTCGGACCCACTTCTCACTTTTTCCATTGTCGGTAAACCCCAGCCAAGGGTCAAGGTCGGCGAACTAATAATGGAGGTCCCCGACACTTTATATGGCTTCCAAGAGGAGTGGTTGTGGGTCGGTGGAGATTGGCAGTGCCCCGACTTTGCTAATGATCTTCTCGCCGACGGGACAAGCATCCCATTGGCCATTAAATCTGGTTATTGTAAGTTATTTTCGTTTTCTTCACTTCGGTTATTAATACTTTGTTTTTTGTTGTCGCTAACAGGTGGACTTTTGTGACCTTGTAGCAAAACCAACCGGGAAGAGAGAGCCCAAGTTCGAAGGTTTACTATACGATCGAGTGGATAAGTTGTTTGAAGTATCTCATAATAAACGACGATATCAACGACTTGTGAAAGATTCTCGTTTAGAGTTGGCTGGTCTGTCTCCCAGGATACTTGATTCTTCATTTTTACCAGGTAATCTTCTTCGCTTACTTCGTAACATTGTTCGTGTCAACGAAATCGGTCTAACTTTGAATTTGCTGTAACAGTCTATTATCCATTGCTGGGATACTTCGGTTTCGGAGATCCCGCAGAAGCAGAAGAGCATTGGAGACGTAATCCGAACTTAGACTTAAAGAACAAAGTCAGAAAAAATAAGAATCTCCGATCAACCGAAATGGCTGGACGCATGAACCTTCTTAAGGCGTGGAAGAAAAACCCCAACCGATCTCAAAGTGCTGTCGGCGAACCATCGTCAACAAGGGTAGATCCTACACCGGCGATAGCGAACGAGCCAGTAGTTACCGACGTCCCGCCACTTGAGGTGGCACCACTGCAGCAAATAATGACGTCGGTTAATGAGCCCGTGGTTGAGCCAGAAATCTCCCAAGAAGCGCCGGGGGAATCCGACGAGCCAGTGATTCATCGTCTCAAGAGATCCAGCGTATCCCATATGGCGGAAAGGATGAAGAAGAGACAAGACACCGGCGTCGGCAAGGATAAGGAGGAAGAACCCGAAATCATTTTGAGGAATTCCTTCCTCAAAATAAATGAGAAGAAAGCGGCGGAGCTGACGCTGCCAGAGGGCACGTTCGACCCCTGGTTTCCAATGTTTCAGACAGTCGTCGAGCCAAAAATCACAAACAACCAGCGGTTCCCCGATGAAGCGGTTAAGGCGGCAAGGGTTCCACTGATGTCGTGGGACCCAAAGACTCATGCGAGGATCGCATCCCTGCCAGACGACCAGAAATTCAGTTATGCCCGAGGTTGCTTGGGTCGGGCACTTGTCAGCTTTATAGCGGCCGAGGAAAGTTATCGGAGCAGAGCTCATGAGCTTGACGAGAAGCAACACGAGCTAAGTTTGAAGGAAGGCGCCATAGCTTCTCTGGAGGATGAGAAGTCCCATTATGAAGCATCAATATCGGAAAAAGATGCTCAGTTGCAGGCGGCACAAACCGAAGTGGGTGTTCTGAAGACTGAAAGGGAGAATCTTCTCCTGGCCCATGACCTCTTGTCGGTTCAGCTGGCCAAAGTTGCCGAGGTCGCAAAGGAGAAAGACGAGCAGCTCACAAAGTTAAAGGCTGAACTTCAGGCTGTCCGCAAGGATCGATCCGATAAGGATGCTGAGTTGATCCGAAGTCGTGATGCTCATGAAGTGGCCATGAATAAGCTCCGTCAAGAAATGGTTGCCGCTGCTGAGCTCAAATTCCAAGAGGGTATCGAAGTCGGCAAGAAGTCGGTGGCCGAGTCCGACAACACATCTAATGCCAATGCAGTAACGGAATGGGAGCTGGAACTGAACGCCGCCTTAGCTTTGCGTTGGGTGATCGACAGAGTAGAAAGCGGCGTATACACTATGGATGAGCTGCGTATTTTCCTTCTTCATAAGATGGAGAAACATGGTTTCAATCCCGAGATGCAGAACGCCCATATTCCGGCCGACCAGGATGAGAGAGACTTTGCTGACCGACTTCTAAAACAGAAGGAAAGTTGGATGCTGGAGTTGGACATGATACCCTTGTCGGAGGAACGGAAAGCAAAGATTCGTCGGTCATTTATCGACATGGTCCTCGAAGTGGAGAAGGCCAAGAAGCCTGAAATGGCTAACATATGTGTGGAGATGATTGCTGAGGCCTTTGTCACAGAAACATTCGAGGGCCTGTCTGATGAGGAGCTTTTGGGCGCTATTATCAGTTATGCTGCACGCAAGGTGGCGGAGGATGACGCCAAAGCTAAAGGTTGGGTGATTGACCCAGTCTCTTCTGACGACGACCGTGTTTTGCATGAAGATGATGACGTCGTCGTAATTAAAGAAAGCGATGTCGTCCGAGCACTGGAAGAGAAGGAAGAGGACGTCATTCAGCGCTTAAGCCAAAGGTTGATTGAGCATATGGACGTTGTTGACAAGGACAAGGCTGAGACTGGGAATCCTCAACTTTCCAATGTAGGAGGGGCGTCATCGTCGGGGACCAAAGAAAATTAATGTTTTTGATTTGTTTTGTCGTTTGTTTGTTTTTCTGGGAATGTAGTAACAACATTTGGTTTTGAAATGAAATATAAATGTTTGATGAATGGAATATTTTTGTGAATGCTTCATCGTGACTTATTATTGTAACAAGTCAGAGTATGTCGGAAAAAGTGAATAAGTGTTTGTCAGATTAAAATTTCCGACGTAACATTAGTGTAATAATTTAGACGAGGTACTAACGTCGATGCAATCTTACAATATTTCCGACATCAATAACTTTATCAGAACAAGTTACACCAAACTTGCTTTTATTGGAAACATTTATTGTGTAAGTCCTTGAATGTCTCAAAGAACTTAAGAATTTTATTGTCAGCTCATCAAATCAACGTCGGGATTTGATATTAAAGAGCATAAGCCTCCCCAAACCATCTTCAGGGCTTGGAAGTATCTGGCTTTGTCGCGTTTGGCCAGGTCATACCATCTTCAGGGTATGAAACACGTTTGGCCTTAGCAACAGGGACCGATTTATTGTGGTCCGAGTGATCGAACAAATTATAGAGGTTCGTCACACAAACTTTATTGATAGCAAAACATGGTTCTTGTACAGGAGTAGGACAAAAACTTTTTTACACGTCAGGGACAGAACCTTGGCCATCAGGTTTACTGGTAGTATTTCTTCAGATATGTCGTGTGCCAGGGATATTGAAGGGGAACACCGTCTAACGTCTCAAGTCGGTAGGTGCCATTAGAAATCGGACGATTTACTTTCAAGGGTCCTTCCCACTTCGGTTGTAATGGGCCGACATTGGCCCCAGTGACTCTTTTCAGTATAAGGTCTCCTTTGACAAATGAGCGTGGCTTGAGTCTTGAGTTTATGTACTTTTCACTACGTCGTTTATAAGCGGCATTGCGAATTTCGGCGTCAGCCCGTAACTCATCGACCAAATCGAGACTGGCTTTCAAGTTTGTTAAGTTGGTTTCTTCAGAGAAGTGAGTGACCCGATATGTCGGAGAAGCAAGTTCAACCGGTATCACAGCTTCAGTCTCGTAAGCTAACGAAAACGGAGTTTCTCCAGTTGAATTTCTCGTCGTCATCCGGTAAGACCAGAGGACGTAAGGCAACTCATCAGGCCATGATCCTTTTGCGGCTTCAAGTCGAGTTTTCAGGCCATTGTTGATAATCTTGTTTACGGCTTCTATCTGTCCATTAGCTTGTGGGTGATAAGGTGACGAGAAGAAATGCTTGATGCCGTAATCTTCACAAAAACTTTCAAATCGCTTGCCTTCAAACTGACGACCGTTGTCGGTTATAATGGAGTTCGGAATTCCAAACCGACAAACGATTGATTTCCATACAAAATCAACCATTTTCTGCTCCGTGATGGTTACAAGGGGCTCGGCTTCAACCCACTTAGTGATATAATCGGCGGCTAAAATAGCAAACCGAACTCCCCCTTTCGCTGTTGGAAGTGGGCAGATCAAATCAATTCCCCATTTTGCAAACGGCCATGGGCTATATATCGACTTGAGGAGTTCAGGATGTTGGTTAACGTTAGGAGCAAATATTTGGCACTTGTGGCACCGCCACACCCAATCTGTGGCGTCTTTCCTAATGGTAGGCCAGTAGTAGCCTTGTCGGAGAATTTTGTGGGATAAAGTTTGAGCTCCCTGGTAGGTACCGCAGACTCCTTCGTGTACTTCTTGAAGGACTCGTTGAGCGTCAATCTCTGACAAACATTTAAGCAATGGAGTAGAATATCCACGCTTATATAACGTTCCTTGATCAATGGTGTAATGAGCAGCACGAACACGAAGAGCACGAGCTTCTTTCGGGTCTTCAGGTAAGGCCCCGGTTTGAAGATAGTCAATGATCGGATCCATCCACGTAAGATTTGAAGTTAATAGGGCAGCGTCAACCATGACGATGTCGGTAGAGACTGTTGATGAGGTCGTCTGTTGGGTGATTTGCACGAACTCAACATTGTTCAAGTCGGTCGATGAGGCTAATCGTGAAAGAGCATCTGCCTGAATATTGGATGACCGAGGTATATGCTCCAACGTCATTTTAAACCGTGTCAGCTTCTTTTTTACGAGATCAAAATAAGGCAACAACCGTGGTTCTTTAACTTCGTAAGTACCGTTGATATGGCTGACTAGTAACTGAGAGTCGGAAAATATTCGGAGAGAGGAAACATTCATGGATTCGGCGAAGTGTAAACCTGATAAGAGGGCCTCGTACTCGACTTCGTTGTTGGTGGCCGGGAAGGTAAATGCCACAGAGTAGCAAAACACCTGTTGATCAGGACTAACTAAGACAATCCCTCCTCCAGCTCGTATAGCAGTGGACGATCCGTCAATGTAGAGAGTCCATGTCGGATCTTTAATGGATGAGTTGACAGTGGGAGTAAATTCAACAATGAAATCAGACAGCGCTTGAGCTTTGATAGCGGTTCGTGGTCGGTACTGGATATCAAACTGTCCCAACTCTATCGCCCATTTAATCATTCTCCCCGACGTGTCAGGTCGGTGAAGGACTTGTCGGAGAGGATATGTCGTAAACACAACGATTAAATGCTCCAAAAAATATGGGCGCAACTTCCGTGCAGCGATGATCAGAGCATAGGCCAACTTCTCCATATGCGGATATCGCAATTCAGCGTCATGTAAAGCCTTGCTAACATAATACACCGGAAACTGTTGAAGCCCATCTTGCCGTATGAGAACAGCACTAACAGCAATGTCACTTACACCAAGGTACAAATAGAGAGGCTCATCAGGAAGTGGTTTCTGCAACGTCGGTAACCGTGAAAGAACTTCTTTAATGTTGTCAAAAGCATTCTGGCATTCCATGGTCCATTCAAACGGTTTCGTCTTTTTGATAGCATCAAAGAACGGCTTGCAATGATCCGTAGACTTTGAAATGAACCGATTAAGGGCTGCCAGTCGACCAGTTAAAGCTTGGACACCTTTGATAGATGTTGGGGGAGCTAGGTCAAGTATGGCTTGAATCTTAGCGGGATTGGCTTCGATCCCTCTCTGACTCACCATGTATCCTAAAAACTTCCCTGACCCAACTCCGAAAGTACACTTCTTGGGGTTAAGCACCATGGAATATTCTCGGAGTATATTGAAGACTTCGGAGAGATAGGTGATGTGGTCAGAAGCCTGTTCCAACTTCACTAACATGTCGTCTACATAAACTTCCATCGTATGGCCGATCAAGCGAGCAAACATCTTATTGACTAACCTCTGATACATGGCCCCTGCATTCTTTAATCCAAAAGTCATCATGACATAGCAATAAAGGCCTCGGGCTGAATAGAACGAGGTATGTTCAGCATCATCAGGATGCATAAGAATTTGATTATAGCCTGAATAGGCATCCAGAAAACTCATAAGTTGGTTTCCGGACGTAGCATCTACCATGTAATCAATGTGTGGAATGGGATAGCTATCTTTCGAGCATGCTTGATTCAAGTCTGAAAAATCTATACACAGACGCCAAAGGCCGGTGGCTTTCTTGACCAAAACAGGATTTGATATCCACGTCGGGTACTTGGCTTCTTTGACAAATTTATTGTCTATGAGCTTGTTTACTTCCTCTTCAAGGGCCTTCTGACGGTCTGGGCCGAATTTTCGGCGTTTCTGAATAACGGGTTTGACAGTTTTGTCCAAATTTAGACGATGGCATGCTTTTTGTGGGTCAATCCCTTTCATATCTTCATGCTTCCAGGCGAACACATCGGAGTTCGACTGGAGAAACTGAATCAGATTTGATCGAATGGGTTCTTGCAGGTTGGCCCCAATGCGCAGCGATTTCTGCTGAGCCGATCCGTCCACGTAAATGGTTTTGATATCTTCAACTGGTTCCGCTCGGACATGATGGCCTCCATCCTTGAACTGCATCCGTGGATCCATATCTTCATGCATTTCTGCATCTTTCTCATGAAAAGGTGATTCTTGATTGAGGACTTCAGTTAATGTTTCAGGCAAAACCGACGTCATAGGGATGTCGGTATCAGTAAGCGGCATGTCGGTATCTTCTTGAGACACGTCAGTACTTGGAATAAATTGATCAATTCTTTCAGCATCAAAAATTGAATCACTCGGCTCAACGGAGTTATTAGCATCCTGTTCTTCAATCATATGAAAGCTACGCGAGGTTGAGAGCAACATCAGACTTCGGGCTTCTCGTTGATCTCCGTAATGAGTGCCTTCTCCTTCAATGGTGGGGAACTTCAGGGCATAATGAAAAATTGACACATCAGCACGAAGTTTATAAAGTGCGGTTCGTCCTATTACAGCATTATATTCGTTCTGGACATCTAAGACTTTAAAGGTTTCCATAATGATCTTGGATTTCGGTCCAAAGCCACCGAACCGAATAGGGAGTAATATTTCGCCGACAGGACAAGAAATGCTCCCATTAAAACCTTGAATTTGGTCGTTGCAAGGCCTAATGTCTGCCGGGTCTAAACCTAATTTTTTGAAAGTGCGGAGCATTAAAATACTCGAATAAGCTCCCGTGTCGACCAAAATCCGATGAACAGGAATCCCTCCAATCGGGGCAGTTATGATAAGAGCATCGGAATGAGGATGAGCGAATAAATTAGCGTCTTCGATATTGAACGTGATAGGACAATTCCGTTTGTTAATGGTATCTCGAAGATCAACATTCATGACTCGTTTCTCGGCATTCTGTGCCTCCCGGGCATAGGCTTTGATTTTCCGTCGAGATGTATCTAACTGTTTGTTATTGGAGTTGACTCGAGGTATACAATGTGAAGAATCTACGGGATCACGTATTTTAGGCTTCCTGCAGTTATCAGTCGAGGTTCCGACATGGGTAGAAAACGTAAAAACCTCCTTATCATTTGCACGAGCTCTTTTCTGGTTAGCAGGTCGGTTACCCTCATCCTCATCATCTGAAAAATCCAAGGGCCTTCCTTTCCGGCGGTTATCAAAATTTCGAAACTTTTGAAGCTGGGGTTGTCCGATTAAGCGTAAGAGTGCCGACAAAAGACCGAGACACTCATCGGTATTGTGTCCTGGAGACTTATGGTACGCACAGTACCGAGTTTTGTCCAACTTGTCTTCAGGAGTTCTCACAGGCCTCGGGTCTGGGATAATTCCCTTTCCTTTCAGTTCTTCATATATGGTGGCTGCTCCGGCGGAATAAACGGCATGATAACCTGTCCTGACATTGTCTGAATACTGATCACGAGCAGCCCGAGACTCTGGAGTATTTTCATATCCTTTAGAGGAGTTCCGAAACTGTGCTTTCCCAAAGTTCTTCTTGTTCTTCTTTTTAGCATCCGGTTCAGCCTTGCTCTCCTTCACCGAGAAGTTGAAACTAGGAACCGACATGGATTCTTCAGCAATAATGAACTGTTGAGCTCGCACAAGAAACTCTTGAAATGTAGCAGGCTTATTTTGACACAGGGTCCAGCGAAACATTGAGTTGGGCTTCAGTCCAGCAATAGCAGTTACTAACAAAGTTTCAGGATGACAGGGCTCCATGTTCTGAATTCGGTCGTTGAACCGAGCCACGTAGTCTTTAACAGTCTCGTCGTCCTTTTGCACAATGTTGGTAATCGATTCTTTTGGAATGAGACAAATTTGAGCACCGATAAATTGTGATCGGAAAGCTGCACGTAACTGTTGCCATTTCCAAATCGAATGAGGTGGGAGAGTATAATACCATTTTTGGGCTCGTGGCCCCAGTGTAAGTAAAAACATCCGACACCTCAGAGCATCTGAAGCCCCATGTAAATCCATCCAAGACATATAATGGCCTAAATGTGCATCTGGATCTGATGTCCCATCATACATGCCGATTTGCGGGATTTTCACTTTCACAGGGAGTGCCTCCGCAGTAAGTTCGGGGGCTAAAGGAGAATCCGCCTCGACAATAACATTTCGCGACGTCGTGACATGTCGGGGTGAATCTTCTTGTGACTTCTGTCGCGTCTCAAGTTCAGCCAAACGTTTACGAAGGGTTTCAATTTCCTCTGCACTGTGTCTTGAAAGTCGATTCCGTTCAATTTGGCGTCGCAAATCTTCGCGAGCGTGAGGTGCTGACGAAATGGGTCTAGGACGTGGCGAAACTCTCTAGTGATGAGCAGAATGACTTTCAGCAGTCATCTCCTGCACAGGAGGTTGATCCGGGACTTGATTGTTCATCGCGAGATTAGCAGTTACATGTGTCCGCTCTTCTCGACGTGGAGAAGTATGATGAGGTTGCGACGTAGCATGTGATGTCGCTACATGTGTTTCATGGTCATGATGAGTGTGGGTTGGATGTTCTGTTGGGTTAGTAGTTAACGGCATCGATAACGGTATCGTATTCGAGTTCCTGGGCATGGCTCGAGCTATTAGTGAAGTCAAACCTTGGATAAACTCCGGATTTTGAAGAAAGTTCGTGACATTCGTGACCGGAGGAGGTGGTGTTGCACGCCGTGGGGAATGGTTAGTCGATTGGCTCTTGCCAGGGTGAGTCACGTGGTCTCGACCAGACTGCGACATGATGGTTTCGAGCGTGAAAATGACTTAAAGGCGAAAGTTAACTTAAAAACATGAACGCCCCGCCTCCTTCTAGCGCCAAACTGTTGTCAAATGAGAATTAACAACAATATAATTGATGTAGGTTTGAAGTAAACTCAGTATAAATCAGCAGGAACTTGTATAGTTTAAAAGAAGATGGAATTTCTCTATGAATATTATTATTGTACGTGTGTCTCCCTCTGGAGAATTGTTTTTCTCCTTTTATATTTATGTACAACATTTATCTGTATCGTAATCATTACATTTGAAAGGTCAAAGGCGGCTTCTTGTGATTCCTCGAAGTCAAAGGCGGCTTCTTGCTACTTCTCTTGATAGCACGCCACTTGGACAAACGTAATGATGATTTATGCTGAGTTGTTGCCGCCTTACAGTGCTGAGATGGCACATTATAGATATCGGTTCATCCAGTTATAACCGATATGTTGTATCCGACATGTAGTGACCGACATGTGATGACCGACATGAGGTAT